GACCTTTCCCCATAGGCTGTATCAGGTGAGAAGACTTAAGTTTGCCATCAGTTCTTCTTTCGCTGCTTTTAAGGTTTAGGTTACTTTGTGTAGGTGTGAAAGTTCAAAACATGGTCTCGTCTGCCTGTACAACTGCATATGTTGTAATTCTTTACTAGCACTAGGTGACGACAGTGTTCTAGAATATGTCAGTCTTCTCAGGCTTCGTAAAAAAATCTCAAAGGTCAAATAAGAATGTTGGCTAATTAAGCAGAAAAAATGTTTTCTTTCTGTACATTCATATATCAGCAGTAGATTCAAAATTACTTTAATTATAATTTCTATTTATTGCATCAATATTACTTTCCAAGGAAGTGACTAAAACTACCATTTGGTATTTTCTCCACATAGTTTCTGTTAGGAACCTTGTTCCGATTGGCTGTTTTTAATTCTAGTGGTCAAATTTTGTCACAGTATAAAACGCAAGGCTTTGAGCTTTTTCCTGTTTAATCTCTGCTGCTGGAATGGTGTTCGGTTCATGTCTTTCTCCTTTCTTTTATAGTTGTGAGCTACAGACACCATAAGTATAACTGCACTTTGCATGAAATCTCTGGCAAGGAGTATCAGTCACGATACTGGCAACAGAATTATTTAATGTCTTTGGGTATTAAATATATGAAAACGATGTAACACATGAAAAGATATATTAGTGAAGCTCATGTAATCTGTCTCTGCAGTCCACACTTCTAACCTGATTTAATTTTAAACATACAAAAGAGGCCTACATGTTTTAACAGTCATGGTATGTGTATTTCTGTCAAAGTGGATCATTATGGGAAATTCATGCTTTTTCTTTTTTCCATGCCTTTAGTCTCTTTGGGTTGTAATTTCTCTTGAAGGTGGAGATTAATAAACTTGTTTTGTTCCATTATTGTAAGGTGAAACAGGCATGAATTTCTTGTGATTCTGAGCTTTTTGCCTAGGTCTTGTACTCAATTATCTGCTTGGACCACACTGCCTGTAATCGTACCATTTACATGTAGTTCTCTGTATAGCCTGGCAGCCTGAGTCCAGTTTTGCTAGTTTAGCTATTCATGATAGAGAGGATATGCTGAAAAGTGGATTTAGAATGTGCTTCTATTGACAGGCAGGTCTTTCCTGTGGTTCCTTGGAGGGATCTTTGGAATTTAATGATTTTTTTTTTTTCTTTATTCTGTAGGATGACAAATCTAACTGAAGTTGTGGATTTAAAAAATTCTATGTCTGTTTCTGCTAGCCCTTTCATTCAATTGATGCTTTTCTTACACTTGCAGACTAAGTGGTTCAGCAGGCATAATATCTCTCAGCCAAAGAAACTAAGCATATGGCATCTGAAAGTGAAAGAGTGATAAAGCATGGTGAGGCTGCCAAGCAGAAAGACACTGCTATAGTGACAAAGCATGTGGCAGCACTCAGGGCTTTCAGAGAGATAATGTAGCTGCAACGCTCTCGATTTCTAAGGAAGAAATTGCTGGAAACATGATGCTGGAAACATCTCAACAAGATGGACTTGGACTAGGCTAGGTGTGTCATTGCTTCTACTGTTGCAGGAACAATTTGACTGCATTTAAAGTGCTATTTATAGCCTTGCCTAAAAAAAAAAAAAAAAAAAAAAATTTATGAAAGTTGCCTCTTTTCCCGGTTTCAGTGTGTGCCTTCAGTTCAGTGGTAATGAAGTGCATGTTTCCATAGTGAGATGTGGTCTATCTATTCCTTGATTGCAGTGGTTAGTGATGCAGGTAAACTAATCCAAGTCACCACATCCGATACTTGTGCACAAGCATAGCTGAAGCAAGTTGGTGGGGAGTAAAAACTGATAGTTCAATATGAGTAGCCTTTTTCATAGGTTCATATGTGGGTCAGGGTGAGAGCATTGGCTTTGAAACTTGTATGTATTAGATGTAATTTTTAGTCTGAAGCTTAGATTTCATGAAGATGAATTATCAAAGCTTAATTTAAACAAAGCATTTTCACATGCCAGTGATGACAAATACATTTGCTTTGGCATGCCGTTTTTTTTTAGGGTCTTCACTTTGTTGTTGTTAATGGGCTTTTGGCGTCCTGCCCATACATAGTATTTTTATTATCAGAGATTTTGGTCCTGCTCCATGAACTAAAAATTGAGAACATGGCCATCTTTTAGAATAAAGACTGAGATTTTGGGATTTTTTTTTTTTTCCTTTTTTTTTTTAAAAGAAAGACTTGATAGTTTCCTCTTGAAGGCCACAGGGTGGAAAGTGAGCTAAATTGGCTCAGGTTATGTGCTGGGGTATATTTAATATCTTCTGTTGGTTTTAAAATAAATTTAATGTTTAGTTCTAATGTATCTGGGCTCTTTTTTTCTGAGTAACAGCCACCAACAGTGAAAATTACACAGGACTTCATAAAGTCTGTGAACTTTGCAGTAAAAGGCTGCTTGGATCTGCCTTGAACAACCTCAGATGTGTTCAGTTATTTTCTCTAGAAGAAAGTCTGTCCTCCCCACAGAAGCATGGAGTGAAAGGTCATTCAGAGTTGGAGCTCGTATAGCTTAGACAACAGGAAGAATAAAATATTCAGTGCTATTTAAAACAAGCATTCTAACACAAGGAGTTTAACGTGCACTCTAAGAAATAGATGCAGGGGGTGCCATGCAGGATCAGATCAGGTCCTCTTCTCCTTGCCAGTTGAGTAATCGCCCTTTAATTTTTGCGATATCATTGCTGAAAAGTGAAACCTCGGGGTAGCGCGTGTGACATGAGGGTCATAGCCCCTTCGGGAAGGGGCCCTGCGGGCAGCGGACTCCCTCTGCAGCCCCTTGGTGCCAGCGCTCCTCAGGAGGTGCAGGCGCCGTGTGAGGTTGGGGTGTTTTGGATGATTTTGAGGGAATGAAGTCGGCCTCCTGCTATGGAAACTTGTGGAAGCGTACACAATGTACTCCTAGCAGCTTTGAAAATCTTCTGCTGTCTGCTGCCAGCTGGGGGTTTGGGCTGAGGTACAGGCTGTCCCAGCTCCCGGGCGCTGGAAAGCTGACATGCTTCTGAAGTGATGTATTTCCTCTGTTTTTGAGCGGCATGCACCCATCTCTTTTACAGGCTCAGAGACCCTGCGTTCAACCAGTTCAAACTTTGTGCTCCTTGGTGTTCCAAACCAATGTATTGTTCAGCCAAATTATGTTGCTAGAAGTGCTGCATTTCCAGGTTTTGTACAGCATTTCAGTCCTTAAGTTATTCAGAGTTTTAGATTTTTTGAATGTCTGAATCTTGAAGTGGAGCAACTGATACCAAATACAAACATAGCAAGGTTTACTTTGGAGAATGATGTGACTACTGTTAGTAATCAATTACTAATTATGGTATGTTTATTAATTCAAAGTATTTAACCAATATGGATATATTTTCTTTAAGAATCTTGTGTCTACTACACAGAAGAATATTTCATGACACTGTTATATGATTGGTGTACTGCAGATGACAGGAAAATTTTAAATTAATCATCTGGGGTTATATTTTAACACCTCACTTTTTGGTCTATTATTATTATTGTATTTGTTTATAAGCTCTTGCGTTGCTAAAAACATGAGCTGTGCTTGCAGTGCTTTAGTGCAGCAACTCTGGTTTCTGGAGTCTCTGTGTGCTGGCATGGTATTATGTAGTATGTAAACTTTGAAACCTGCCTGACATCTTTGTTGCCCTCGTGGTGAAAAAGCAGAAGGAAGAAAAACAACAACCCAGCCCTCCAAAAACTAATAAAAACCCACCATAAAATAGAACCCTCAGTGTTGTAAAGGCTTATAGAGAAGAAGGAAAACCAAGGAAAAGTCAGGTGCCCATATAAAGCAGCAAAACAGAATGCTGTGAAAGTTGCTGCAATTTTCGTGTTCAAGCTCTTCTTTCGGTAGAGGGCAGTACTAGTTCAGTTTCCTTTAGAGTCCACTCCACACCTAGTCATCGGCAGCTTATGATTGCACTAAGCTGTTCTCAATACAAGCATTTAGAAATGGCTGAATGAGGACATTTAGTTGATTTTGTTTGTAATAGATAGTTGGAGGAGGATTGTGAATAGCATTCAGAATACCCGTGTAAAAGTACAGTCAATCTAGTATCACAAGATTTAAGTTCTTTTAGTAATTTATTTTACTTTTGATGGCAGGGTTGCTGTATTCTTTGTTGGTTTGCTCCTTGGCCAGATAACTCTTTCTGTGATTCTCTGTTTTCCTGCTTATGCATGGAGTAAGTCCAGTGCACAGGAGACAGCAAACCTGGCAACAGCAAGATCTGCTTTGGACTGCTGTGTATGATATATATTTGCTGATTCACTGCAGGATGACTATTGCCACAAAATAAATCCAGCTTTTCAATTTATTGGTAATCCTCCATTGCCAGTTTTTCTGCTGGGGTAGGATGCATTTAAGAGTCTATTTTACCATGTTGTGACTAATGACAAAATGTAAATGATGACAAAGTGTAAATGTCAAACAGTATTAATTACAAGCTCCTTTTGAAGTCCTTTTCCATATTTGTATATTATAGGCTTCTTCCACAAGGTGGAGCTTTAAGGCTCTGTAGCTGGGATTTTTTTCCCCTCTTGGCTAATAAGCGGAAAGATGAATGGAGCTCATGAAATATCTTAAGACAGGTATAAAATGACAATTTCAGTACTTTTCAAGAAAGTGGGTAGATTTTAGGAAACAAACCCACCAGACTCAACAGATATTTTTGACTCTTTAACATAGCCAAGTTACTGGAATTAACGTTATAAAAGAGGAAAAGAAGGATGGGAAAAAGTAGTTCTCATTACTTATTTATTCTGTTGGAATTAATATTTCTTTGCTTTCAAACTTATTTGAAAGGTAGGCAGGACTAGATAGACAAAAGCAGTATGAAAATGCTTGCTAAATCTTCACTTATTGGGAGGAGGTTTGTTTTTTTTAACAGTCCTACCCTAAAAAAAGAGGAAACTTTAGATAAGAGCTATTCTGATAGTTAAAAGAAAGGCAGAAAGCATATATCTTTCTTTTGCACAGCTGTCTTTTCAAGAATGAGCTATGTATACCCTTTCTCTGGAAGACAACCGTTGTGTGTTTTTTCACTCTGCCTGCCAGAAATTGCATCTTGCTGAATTCCGGAAAAGTGCCACCAGTATTTTCAGGCCGTGTTTCTGTAATCGGTTATCTTGGGCTTCCCATGTTTCTTTGAGTGTCCGAACTATTGCCATCTTGTCGGAAATCCCCTGCTGTTAATTTTGTTGTAATGGAATTCTTCATCTGCTCGCTGTGCTGCTGCTGGTAAGACAATTTCATGTATTAACTAGCACTGGCATGTGTGGACATGAGCTGGTACTGCGCAGACAAAACCTGGGAAAGAGTTTAGCTGGAGAGGGGGAAGGGGGACTGGATTGGGGAGGGAGGGTAGCAGCAGGGAGGGAAAAACCAAAATCTTGAGTCTTTACAGCTTTTCTGCCTAAAGGTAGCCTTTTCTGATGGTAACAAATGTTAGTAAATGTTTGCTGCATCTCTTTGAAACAAACCTTGTGGATGGAAGCAGGTTTACTAGGAACTTGTTACAAGTACTCTTTCCCTCTCACCTTTCTTCATTAAACTGGTATGTTTCTCTCAAAATGTTTAGACCAAGAGACTTTATTAGAACTTTCTGCAGGGTCTGTGTTACCACTTAACGCTTGACTTGAGTTGCAGTTGAAGGTTGTGAAACATTTTCTCAAATTATTTGTGTTGTTTCTGTCTTGCTTTGCAGGTGGTGTGTTAGTATGCAAGAGATAAGAAATTGGTTATGATTTTTTCATAATATTATGAAAATTATATTAAAATGTGTACTATATATTTTTTTTGTGGTTTAGGAGTCTCCCTAGTTAACAAGTAGGAACAGTAACAACTTGGAACAGTATTTGCATATCAGAAATCCACTTTCTCCCTTTTATTGCTAAGCCCTATCTGATGGCCCTCTCAGAAAATAGCACATATCAAATACAATGAAAAGCAGGTATTCTTTATGCCTAACTAAAATGAGTTAAGAGCCTCTCTGGACAGACAGTCTACCACTGATTTCTAGGCTTCATGTAGGCCAGTGGCTGAACCAGTCTGTAATGCTTCCGCTTCTTAGTGGATCTGCTGCAGATCCAATTAAGAACTCTTCTTTAAACTTCAGTTTCCCTCAGATGCTATCAGAGTCTTGGCATGTTAAGAACTGCCTGGAATGTCTTTTTCTTTTGGGTCCTTCTTTTTTCTTTTTTCCCTAGATATTCTTGTCATGCAGTATGTTAAAGTATCAGTTTGTTACTAGCTAAGTAGATATATCTGTTGGTATAGAAGATGCGGTAGGCCATTTGGACAGTTTCACGAAGAGCCCTTCCCCGTAATATAATGTTAGGTTAGATTTCTGAACCACAACCTCAGAATAGAAGTAATATGAGTGGGGTATTTGAATGAGCTTGAACTCACGTTTGGTTTTTTCCCAGATCTTGCGGGACATATGGTTGTGTATGGGCAAGAATTCTTGCCCTTCCTTCTGCTGCTTCTGCCAGTGTGGATTTCCAGTTTCCAAGGCCTCTAAGTACTCCACCCCTTCTGTGGGTGAAAAATACCTTTCTTTTCTGAAAGCAATAGCAGTATCAGTTATTTAAAAGTATTGTAGATGCAAGCTTTTGCATAATCTTCAAATTTTGTAACAGTGAGTGGTTCTATAGCAGCTGGTTCCAAATTCCAATGACTGTCTATAGAGTTGGATAAAGAATTACTCCTATCCCACACAGCTTTACAGAAACAGTGATTTTGACAGGGAGTTTCAGGGTAAATGGCAATAATAAAGCCAAGAATACTGATGGTATATTTACTAGGGATAAATATTTATTTTTAATATTACACTGGCCAATGCTGTATTGACAAAATCATCCTGAGCAGATGGTTTGGAGGCATTCCTCTGTTGGTAACAGAATATGGCTATCTTAGAGCAAAGATTTTCTTAGCACTTACTAGCCAAAAGATTATGGTTGCTTTATTTAAACAAACTTTGGTATGAAGATATCAAAACAGCAGCCTAAACCAGGTGCTTCCAGGGAATACATGTGGGAAGGGGATAAGTGTAGCCTTATCACCCTTAGAGAATGGAACAGGCACTTGCTTACTATTTGGATTCCCCTTATGGTCCCTTTTCATTGCAAACCCTATTTTCAGAAGAATGTGAAATAAAATACAGCATATTTAGCTTTAAATCAGGGTGAAAAAAATCTCAGTGCAGCTTACAGAGAGAGAAGAGAGATACAATGATTTTTTTGGATGATAGTGGAAAATTTCATGACAGGAAAGATATGCTGTCAATAATAAAGCTGCTGTGGGTTCAGCATCTGTTTTTTTCAAGTTTAGTAGTCTATAGGATTACCGTCCCATCTTCTATATTGTTTATCTTATTTTTCATGTTGCTGGTAGATCTAGATGCTCATAAAACTTTATGAATATAAACTTTACCCTTTTGTTCCTGCTTGTAGTGCACTCTTGTCCTGGGCTAATACTGTTGGTTTACAGTTGTTCGTGCTGAATTCTAAGATAATTCTTTTCTGTGAGGCAAGGAAAGAATGTTCATTACACATTAAGTGCTAGAACGATGTTAGCTTTAAAATCAGAATTGAAAATAGATATGTGAAAGGAATGCTTAAGTTCCAATGCAGCCCCTTTTCCACTACTGCGCCATAAAAAGTGTAAAACTTATTTGTCTGTTCACTTACCTCTAAGGTTAGTAAAGCTTAGCTGTAACTGCTGGACCAAACAGGTGCATTTCCTATCCTACTTTAATGGCAACAACATGTATAACTTAACAGATAAAGCAGTCATCATCTTCATTAATCGTAATACATGTTCATTCACATTTGGTTTTTTGTCCCTGTTAACATATCCTGACAGATGATTGTCTTTTCAGGTATTACTGCAGTTGCTGTCTTTTCCCCTCCACTTACCTTCACTCACTTTGCTTCCTTGGCCTTCTTTGTGTACTTAAGTTTTCTTCTAGGTTTTCTTCAAAGTGTGACTAATTGCATGAGTTTTAAAAGGATTATTGTGTATCCTTCCCCCCCCCCCCCCTTTTTTCTTTTATTTTTTTTTTTTTTTTTCCTTCTTATTTCCATTCCACACATACTCTTAGAGTGTGAAAGCTCAGTGCCAAGGACATATGATGTGGCTTCAGATCAGAGGCCAGATATCTCAAACTATACTTGCTGGATTTTGATTGACTTTGTGAACCACCCTCACAAGTGTCTTGAGTGTGCGGTTACTAAACCACTGACTTAAGTAAATCGAGTCCATCTTTCCAGTGGTAAGGCAATGGGTGTCTCTGATCATAATGGAGTAGTTTATTGTCTCCTTATGTTGCATTGACTCTATAGCTGATGGACATAATTTTCTATAATTATCTGGCTCACTCCACCTGTGTTAGCTAGCTCTTATTATCAAAGGTTTTTAGGTGGTCCATAACTCATTTCAGTTTTAAATAACAATTTCTGGGTCAGATTTTCAGTTCATGGAAAAGTAGTAGCCAGCCATTTGTTGTGCATGTATAAATTGAACTTAAATAACTTCTGATGAAGGTACACCTTTTTAATCTGTTAAGAAACTAAAGAAGGGAGGAGATAAAACAGAAACTTAAAACCAGTTAATCAGCTACAGCTATTACACAGTAAATGACTGTAAATCATAGAGTGGATATTTCATAACAGCAGATAAATCTCAATTAGACAATCCTAAATGCTTGTGGGTGGAGCTATGAATATCATTATGCAGTTAGTGTATTACCCTAACAAGCAAACAGATCACACCCCTTAAATGAAAGTATTGATCTGAAAAGTGTTTGAACTTATTTGAAATTAATTAGGAATCTTTTATACATTTCTCTGGAAAAGATTGGTTTCTAACAATGTAAAATTGTAAAAAAATAAAAATAGAGTATACATGATAAAAAATCTGGCTATCTCATATAGCTTATTTGTAGTATTTGGTTTTCAAACTACCCTATAAAGGAGTGGTGAATTTTCTTTAAGTCATTTCTTGTATTATTTTTTTGGTCAAAATGAGACCAAAGATATCTTCTCACAGTCAGTATTGTGACAAATGTAAATGATAGAAAGGACCAAAGAAGCTATTCAGCTAACTTTTAAAATCAATAGTAAGCCTAGAGAACAAGAATTTGACTGAAAAACCAGCATTGCAAATGTGGTAATGGCCCTGCAGTGCATATTATTGCCCCCAGATTGTGTTGCTTTTCCCACCAAGGAAGATGCATTTTTATTATTACCAGCCTTCAGAGACCATGCTTTGCCTGATGTTTCCCAGCACTTTACTGTTCTGATCATTTCCTTTGAGGTGCTGGATTTTGAAGGTACTACCTGAAATTGATAAGTTTTCTGTGCTGCTGCAGCTTTTCTGTAACTTCTTTTCGTAGCCCAGTTGAGTTTTACTAAAGTTCTGCAATGTTGTTTTCTCTTGCAGTTCATTTTCTAAATTAATCTTTCCAGCCAAGAGATACATAAGAATCTTCCTGATAGCTTTAGTCTTTAAATGGGGAACTGGCTTTGCTTACTAAATTTGATTTTAGAGTAGTTTATACCTAAATATATTGTACTCTCAAGTATCCAGCTTTATGTCCTTGGGTCTTCAAAGGTTTTTTTGCATTTACCTATATGATAAATAATGTCATACTCTTTGGTATGAATAGGGTTAAAGGAATCTTGTAGACATCTTACTAAAACTCACGAAACTGTTGTTCAGTGAAGCCTCAGTTGGAAACATTTTTTTTTTCTATTTATTTTGGCAAAACTTACTTTCTCAATCTAAAACAATCGGTAATTCTCTGAAGCTTGTACATGAATGACAGTGTTGGTCTTTGTGACTATACATCGGCCTGATTCTGTAGTCTTAGTGCAGAGATAAGAATGATTTTCTGGGAGAGTCATAGTTTGAAAATAGTTTGTTGTAGGGTGATGGTCTTTATTGAGTTTGAGTATATAAACTACTGCTCTCCTATCATGTCAGGAAATCTGTTGCAGGTGACAGGGATCAATATGACCGAAACCTACCACTCTACCTTATTCTTCTGCATCTGCTTGTCAAAATAGCATCTGCTTTGTATGTAGTAAAACTGTGGCTCTGGTTGTCCATTATAGCATTAAGACCCTTTTCCTTTGCCCTTTTATTGGCTTTCTGCAGCTTTGTAGGGAATAGATTGTATAAAGCATGCCCCTGGAAAGCAGAGGCTGTTAAAAGGTTTAAGACAAATTTGTTTGAAG